CCGCGCGCAAGATGAATCGGCGAAATATCGAATCATTAATAAGAATGTTTCTCTTCGGCGATGTCTCGATCTTAACGAGCAAAAACGCGCCTTCGTTATTGCGAGAGCGCTATAGCGTCGCTCGGTAACGAAGAGGCAACGTGATCCGTGTAATTCAACCTTAAGGAACAACCTCAGCCCTGATGTTCTCCAGACGATGAGATTTATTTCGCCGCACGGCGGCCAAAGAGAGAAGCTCGTGGGAAGCGAATTTGTAATCTCTGATTACTCTGGTAAAGCGAGTCGCCTTAATTGACAGTCGTGAAATAGAACGCGAGCGCGAAAGAAGACGCGGCCGGTACCCCCGCTCATTCTCGCTCGGCTGATTCACTTAAAACGCTAATCAACGGCTATTCAAAAATATATATAAGTAACGTCCGTCCCAAACGAACGACGGCGAAATCTTTCCCCGCCGAACGATAATACGTAAAACGGTGGAAAGTCGAGTTTGCGACGGAAGAAAAGATTTTCCGTGCACGGCGGGGGAGGGAGGGCAAAGAAGCCTCGACGGGGCGAAAACAAGCGGGAGCTACTAACGAGAGTAATGATCGCGAGCAATCGATAATCGCCACTCGTGATAAATCCCTCGTTCGAGCGGGATGTGCTCGAGAAAAAGTGCGCGCGCGGAATTTCAGAACGACGGCAACGACAAACGTGCGTTCCAGTTTCCATCGAAACGTTCCATCGGAGCCAGCTGTTTAATTGGAAGAAATGAAAAGCTAATGCCGAAGGGCTGTAAGGGCGTGAGTTCACGGCACCGCAAATAAACCCTCATCTCCGACGCCGTGAACTGAAAATACAGTGTCCGCCCTCGTGTCGTTCTTCCTGTGCACTCACTCTCGCCCATTTGCGGCGCAATCATCTGTATCCCACTTCAATTACAGCTGTCGTTAAGTGTGCTCGCGTGTGTGCTCGATAGCCGCGGAATTTATGAATTAGCAGATCCCTCAATCGCGTCTCCGTATTCTCGTCGAATAATTTTGACAATTAGCTATTGTGCGATAGAAATGATCTTGTCGTAACAATTAGAAAGATATAAACATGCGAGAAAAAGTAAAAAAAAAAATTATAAAAAATTACCTAGAAAATACTAATAAGAAAATTTATAAATTAACAGAGACCTCTCAATTGTCTCGATTACCGTGATTTTTAAAAAGATATTAACAGGAAATGAAATATAAAAGAAATTGTAGAAAATTATCTAAAAAATATTAGTGAGGAAATTTAAGAATTAAAAAACTTCTTGATCGCTTCCGGCTCGCAAACATTTTTGTTGAACAATTTTGGCAAATGGATGATGCACGATGGAAACGACCCTATCGTGACTCTTGGAAAGGAATAAACAGGAGACAAAACGTAAAGGAAAATGAAAAGAAAACGGCTTGGAAAATACCAATAAGAAGCAAACACGGCAAGAGAAGAGGAGAAGAAGAGAACGGCGCACGGATGTGATACACGTTCGCTCTTTTGTCTCAGAGTCATAAAACGTCGATCGTCCTTAACTCGCAGATATTGATTTCATAACGGCGGTTTATCCGCGTTCTCCGCGCGTATCCGTAACGCGCAGCGATCGAAGCGTAATTCACCGTCGCCGAATAAAAAGCTCTCGAGCTCGCGCGGCCCCCGCGATTCCTCACGTTCCACACAACAGGGAAAATCCTTTCGCAATAAAGGAAAGAAGCCCGCGTGATTTCGAGCTGCAGCCACCCGCAGAAGTAAAAGTCAATCTCGCTGTCTGCCGCCGCTGCCGCTCGTAAATCCCAGTAGAATCGAAGTGAGGGCGCGCGCGGGAGGACGAGGAGGAGGATAGTTGGCGGGAAAGAGGGCGGGAGAGTTGTTCCGTGGAGAACAACCGCGATTCCAAGGAGGTGATTCCTTTGAAAAGGAGGCCGTGTAAATAATGGCCGAACACTCGGTGGCGCGGGGAATCAGTCGTCTTATGAGCCCGCCGGGACGTCGTTCCTCCGCGACCGATCTCGCTACTTTGAACTTCGAGCCGTTAGCGTTAGCGTATTCACGCTATCGTTCCTGCGAAATTTCGCTCGGGATCATCCGCGCTCTCAAACGAGTCGATTCGCACTTCTCGACCGACTCGGAGTCAGCCTCGTTAAATCGTTGGTATTAGATGTAGAGAAGCATTATCGAGAAAATCGATTTGATTGGCTATCTGAATCACATGATCTAGGCGGCGTTTTGTTAGCGGCTACGACTAAAAGCATATATTATGATATACCGGTAAATTATATTATGATAATTTTATTATATCATGATTAAATCAAACTCTTTTTTGATATGCCGAGATATAATGAAAACCTACACTACATACATTTTGTACTTTTGTTAAAACCGGGCCTTATTAAATTTATGTTAAATTTTTAACATACTCATATGTTAATTTTACCTTGTATTTATATTATCTCAATATTTTGTATTGAATCAATATTCAACATATATAAGTATTATAATAACACATTTTATACTTCTCAATATCGATTAACTATATTATGAATATTAATTTTGTATTCATTTTTGACGTAATTTTGCTTTTCGACATATTCACTTTGTGTTAAATTAACACAACAACTTGTAAGGATCGTTTGGGACATGTGAATGTTTGGGATATGTTAAATTTAACACAAAATTTTTTACCGTGTGGCTTTGCACGAAAGCAATTGTTTATTATATTTAAATAAAATTTAGAAGGATTTAGGTAAATATGTTATTAGTTACCGAATAAATATTTTTTTATCTTTTATATATTTTTTTCTCTCAATGTACAAATTATAGAAAACATATTTTTACTTGGACTAAATATAAAAGTTAACCTTTCGACAGTTAATATTTCTTCTTTACTCGTCGCTTGTTCCAAGTATTTATGCGAATAAGATAACGACGTTCAATGTATCAAACCCAATAACGCATCTCTATTTTTTATTTAGGGCTCCAATCGGTATTTGATATCGCGTTTCACATCGTTTTGGCCACAGCAACGCGATCAAGCCCGGGACTCGTTATTTCTCGCGTTATCTTCACCGGTAATCCGACGATTGGGCCGTGGCCGATTGTTTCATAAATTCTATGGACGTGTGCGCGCGTGAAACGAATTCGAGTTCGCATGCTCTACCATCGCGGTAATTACTATTTACATTCCCTCGCCATGGGGATTTGCAGTCAGTGAAAAGTTATGCGCTTTACGCGTGGCTGGCGTTCAGTTTTGAGCGGATCATAAACATTGTAGTCAAGCAACCCGTTATAAGCCGAATGGACAATTTCCTGCTCCCCGTGTCCGGCGATTATTATATGCCCGCGTCGCGGGAGAAAAAGTTACGGGCGCGGGTGCGCGGAACTGCACGCCGGCTTCCTCGTTTGAAATTGTCGCCGGCCAGCGAAAGCGGCTGGTAAAGCTGCTAAAATTCGCCGCGACTCTGCCTCGTATGATAACGCAAAATTACGGAATTAACTGCTCCGACTGTCGATAGACGGCTCCGAAAGCTCGCGCGCTCGCGTCGCCGCATCTCGCGACGTGGCCGGCATCGATAACGCGCGCGTTCTCCCTCTCTGTCGTAATTACATGAGACTCGTATAAACGTCGATCTACCGCATCGATAATGCGCGACGGTGGTGCGGGGGTTAGCCGATAACAAATTAATTATGGTAGGGGATAGAAGCGCGTATTAGTCGATAGAGATCCATGATCGAGGCAATTACTGCCGAAATTCGCGTCGAGTCGCGAGCATGTAACTCGAATGTAATAACCGGCGAGACAATGCGGAGAAGGGAGACAATCACCGTAATTCTAACACATCGATCGACCGGCCCCGCGTGTGCCCTGGTCGCGCGCGCCTGCATGCGTACGTGTGTATACGGCGTGTACCCGCACGTACACACGCGCGTATGTACGGATGTTTAGTTTCGAACCGGCCTCGTTGAGACACGATTGATTACTGACGATCAGATTATGGCAATTAATAGCTCGAGTGCCATGGATCCCTTCGCTTGTAAATTAGTTCCGTTTCCGGCAGAGGAACTCCCGGAATTCAACTTATCACCGCAAGTACGTGGACGCCCGGTTATCGGTCGTCTAACTACGTAATCCATATTCCACGCGAACGCGCGGGCACACACACACACACACACGCGCGAATATATACATAGGCACACGTTGGAAACGAATGTCGGTCGTCCAGATACGTGCATACGCGCATATCGTCACACATGAACGAAAACGCCGCAGCGTATATTGAATCCTGAGACGCGAAATTGCCGGCGCTGCTCGTGGCCTCAAGATAATTGACGCGTTTATTTTGCATGGCATATCCGAACTTCATTATGTGTTGCCAACTCACGTAACGCGCGCGAGCGTTTGTTTGCTGCGGCTGCGTTTAAAATAATTCTGATAAGCTCACTTAACAATTAGCGATGTTTAATCGTGCGAATTAAGCGTTAACCCAATCAGTCGCGAAATACGCTCCGCCCTTTGAGCGTGTATCGTTCATTGGAACGCTGCGCAATTTCAACATGAAATTGAAATCGTCCTCGCGGTAATAATCGCCATTATTATTATTATTATTATTATTATCATCATTATCATCATCATCACATCGTCAGGCCGGAGAAAAAGACGGTAAATGGCTATGTATGAAATACAAACGACGGAGGAGAGTTAACTGAATTTCGCGCGCCCGGGAGGACCATAGATCGCTCAATCTCAGGAGTTACAAATGAAAAGTTTTGTTTGCGAAGTGGCGCGTATCTCACCGGGAAAAATATCGCCGAACGTATATCATTTCATCTAGCCCGAGAGCCAATCGATGAAACACGTCGGGCTATTTCACGAGCGAACACTCTTGCTCCACACTGGGAGGAGGGGAGAGGGCGCAAAACCCCCGTCGTCCATACATATAGGCTATATAAATGCTATTCATGCGGCAGGATAATGGGTTAAGTGGAGGTCTACTCACAACGTCGATGAGCTGGGAGAGGCGTAGTCCCATTTTGACAGTGAGGCGATCGCTGTTGTTGCCAACGGGGCGGATGAGGCGGTTGTAGTTCGACAGCAGGTCATCGTAGAGACGCTTCGCTTCCGGATTGGCCGAGGCGCCCGGAAACGAGGCAACGAGACAGGATATAGCCGCCGCCATCGCCAGCAATCCGCCCAACCTGGACCACCATCGCCACCAGCCTTTCCCACCGTCGTTCGTCCAAGCATCCCTAAGCATCGTACGCCTTGTCCACCCCTTTAACAATAAATTACACGTTCTCCTTGTAATGCATGTCTCGTGCCGCCGACAGCAATGGCCGGTCGGGTCTTCATCACCTTCAAGTCGCCCCGAACGTTCCCCGACCAGCACGAAAGTTCGAGTCGTGTCTCGAATATTAGTCGTGACCGAAAGTCGTATATCTTAAGTGTCTCGAGCTTATTACTGGCTGCCAAACCAGTGCCAATATGGATAATCAGTATTTCAATTAACAACTTTTTACATAATCTCGAATATTAGATGGGGAGAGATCGCTTATATTCTTTGCCACATGCATGGTACTTGGTGAAAATGTGTCATACTAGTGGCTAAAGTTAAATTTATTGAAAAGGAAATTTTACAACGAAACAAGAAAAATAATCGACGTGCTATAGAATTTGAACGTGAAGCAAACTCAAAAAAAACTATCAAAAACTTAACAGCACGATATTTACCAAATGTTGTGCTGGTGGCAAATTATATTGCATTTTTATATTTCTATCAGGTACTATATAGAACTATGTGCTACTGTAACTCTCTCTTTCTCTCTCAATGTTTTTTTATAAATTACTAAAAAGTCGCGCCAAAGTTTCACGTGGGTTCCTCGACTTTTCTCGCGCGGGAGAATTCATCTCGTTATCGAGCTACTAAGCTAACACATAAGAGATGACAAATCCAAGAAAACATTAGCGAGAATAATTTGCAGTCGAGTGAAAAATTTCCTCAAAGCGAAAACTTTTGTCCCGATAATTCGAAAAACGGCCGTTTGCCATAAAATCTTGGGAAGCTCAGAGAAAGAAATTTTTTACGAAGTAGTATAACAAGAGAACACGAATCGTCACTCGCAAAACTCACAGTAAATTCTAAATTTCGACTCGGGCAGTGAGTGCATTCGATCGCGAGCAATAGAGTAAACGGTTATAAGCGGCGAATTTTACGATCGCGTCATACCCAAAGTGAAAAAAGATCGTATCGGCGGAGAAATCAGACACATTTTCAGGGAACGCTTTTACGAGAGAATATAAATCTTATCCGAAGCAAGAAATGAAACGACTTCGCAGTTAGCCCGCTTCCTAGTTTCGCGTTTCTGTGTGTTGCGTTGGAAAATTAGGAAAATACGGAAAATCCACGAGCGCCTGCCTGAGATTCCGATCGATCGTCCTGATGCAGGTTGATCATAAACCGGGTTATTCGGGGAAAATCACAAACTGTTACGCGGAAGAAAGATGAAACACCCGTAAAATAAAATCGTAATTTTCCTCCAGTACATCTACTGGCGAACTATTTGTTTATCGATATTTCTTTGTTCCGACGTTGCGACTAATGTTTTCTTTTTCTCTTTGTCTTTGTCTCCTCATCGATCTCGTCGAAATCAGTCATCGAGTCATTATCTCACGCATCGGCTCAGTTTACTTGGTTGTCCATGCTATTTTTAACTTACGATTGATTTCAGATACCCATGCATAATGTATGAGTCCGTCACAGAGCTTGAAGCTAAGGTCGCGCTGCGAAGTCTGAGCCGGATGATGGATTGTCTAAATTAGCATTTAATGAACAATTCCTGTGTCTGTGCGATATCAGATATGTCGTGACGTCGTTGTAACGTCTCGTGATTACAATTACGAATATATAGTAAACAATTTTGTGTCGAAACATTAACATTTTCTTGTGTTACTAACTTTTAATTATTACTTCAATGTAAAATTAACATAGAGCTGATATCTTACCATTTCGTGACGTTTTCATGTGTTACATTTATGTCAATTTAGTAACATAGCATTTTTTGTGTATCACTTAAAAATGAAATATTTTTTAGAATTTTCTTAACGCAATTGCTTAATTAATTTTACATATTGCGTTTACCTCAACATTTTGCGTTAAATCGATATAAATCGATGTATAAATATAACACATTTTATACTTCAGTGTTGATTAACAAAGATATTAAATCTTACTAAACATTATTAGTAACATTTTATTAATATCAATTTTAATAATTTCATTAATATCAAATGTTACTATATTACGAATAAAATTTAAGTCAAAATAATTAATATGTGTTACAAAAATATATAAATGTCAATACATGAACATTCTCAACTTATAAGCAAGTAACACATAACGAATGAGTAATTTCGATTTAAAATTTAGAATGGACTTTCTGCGACGTATAAAAAATGTTAAAATCAACAATTTGTTTTTGACGTGCACGTTCCCAAATAACGAAGCGCGATCGCGAAAGTATGAACGAGTCCAACGTTCGCGATAACTTTACGTCGCTCACAAAATTAGAAATCACTTCCGTGTCGAAAAAAAGTAAATTTATGGATCGATATTTAAAAAAAAAGGGGGGGGGGGAGATTAAAATGAAATTCCTCGCGTAATTACGAAACTCGGCTAAACATGCCTCCGAGAAAATTCGCAAATGCGATTGAATTAAATTAATATAATACGCTCTCGTATATCGAATTCAGTCCGGTCAATACAGACGTCAAAACAGAACAAACCAAATTATTCGCCGAGCTGCCAAACGCATTAAATTCGGGGCGATATTTAATTGCGAAACACGCGCGCGATAAATCACGTGCAATTGTTCTGCAACAGAAGGGTCCGATATAAGCGCACTATTCATTCGAATTCTCGCATCAAAGACAAAAACTTGTTGCTACGACCCGACACACTTTATGCACCATCCATATTTAAAGCGTTAACGAAAACGACGAAAATCAATCAATTGTGTTCCACTTAAATTTGTCCTGAGCCTTATTCGTGATGAAATTTTGATAAACGACGACTAAAATTTCACACTCGATCAAATAAAATCAGCGACATGGCGCGCATGTGTGTGTGTGAGAGAGACTTCCTTTTGTCATAAATCGCGACATGACGCTCGTCGATTCCTCGTAGATACCTGAACGTCAACTTTTTCCTTACGAGTCATCGTCCATCGTGAGACACGGCTCTGCTACTACTAGACGAAGTCATTTACCACCGCGGCGAGAAGCGTAACCGCCCATAAAGAGGACTCGAACGGCATTGTTGTGTCACACAGAGAAAGAGAGAGCGAGAGCGAGCAAGAGGAGAGAAGCTCTCGAGGAAGTTTTATCGCTTCTTTGCTGACCTACCTCGTCGCCATTATCAGCATAACCGTATGCCTAAAGGAACTACTTTGCCGTATTAGGGCAACTTCTCGCGCTCGGATGCCCCTCTTCTTAAATTAACGCGACAAAGAGTGCTCGAACGCGTCTTTAAAGCGAATTGTACCGAGCGTCTCGGTGGAGAAGAGATAGACGATCACGCGATAAGGCGATTTTATCGCCAATTTTTGTGTACGCATATCTTTTTCATTGTTATTCTCCGAATTCGCTGATTTTTCGTGTGAAATCTATCTCATTCGAAAAATAGACAGACGAGTCACTCGAATTTGAGTGATTGTTCATACCGAAAAAAAATTTTTGGTAAAAGTAAAAGTAATTATAATCAGGAGAACCATTTTTCTAGTAAATATTATTAAATAGTAAATTTTGTGTTAAATGTAACACATCTTATATGTCCCAAACATATCCACACAAATTTTTGTGTTAATTTAACATAAGATAAATATGTTGAAAAATAACACAAATATTACATCAAAAATTAATATACATAATATATTAATTGACATTAAGAGAGCAAGAAGTATGAAATATATTATTTTAACATTTACAAATATTGAATATCGACTCAACGCAAAATATATTGAAACAACATAAAAACAATATGTTAAATTAACATGCGGATATGTTAAAAATTTAACATAAAAATTGTAACAAGAATCAATTTTAACAAAACTGCAAAATGTTTTTACTGTGTATAGTGTCAATAATAATAACTTTACATGCATATTGCTATTCACTCATATTTAGTCGGAAAATCAACTCTAGGTTGAATGAAATACTACATACGATAGGAATTACGATTCCGAATGGTAGTATTTTCACTATTGCTTCGAGAGACTTTTCGCCAGATTTGGGTGAGATTTCAAGAATGTAAAGAATACGATCGCCGTAATTTTCTGCTGATATTTCTTTGCCAAAGGAGCCGATTTGAGATCGAACGGTCCAGCGACTTGAAGACGCGATATTTTAATCACCCCGAGAGGTCCACAGAATTCCCACGCGGCCGTTCACGTTCCGGTTGATGCCATTTGGACCTGCCCTCATTAACATTTGACCGAGAGCCCCGGGACACCGCCTCAACTATCCCTTGATATATACACGGTCTTGATCGGCGATAGTGGTATACCGTAACGGATGGTCAGTTTCGTTATACGATAAAAGGACAGGTCGATCGAGCAGCTTGTCCGACAGTGGTCGGACGTGGCTTGAGGAAGCGGATATAATGGAGCCAATAATGAGCTGTGACCACCGCATCCATCAATCCGGATCAAGCGGCTTTAATCACTCTTTTTCTCACACGTCCAACGAGCTGTTGAAAAACAATTGTACGATCTTGGCGCTGTAAAATATTTCCGGATTAAACGTACGAGCTCAACTGGATACTGGAACTCGTGCAACGTACGCAACAATGTCAACGAACACAAGAATTCGCAAACACGATCGCCTTCGATACTCCTTCCTATACTCTGCTACGTTCCCTCACGTTACAGTGACAAACCAGTTCACGGTAAAAAATAAAATGTTAATTTTAACATTTATCGTACGTTCCAGAAAGTCCACCCTAAATTTGGTTAATTAAAATAATATATTCGTCGTGTGCATTTAATTATTTGAGCGTCTTAATGCATTTAATTATTTGACATAAATACATTTCTTTCTACATTTGTATATGTTGCTTCAAATACGATATTAGAGTAACAAAAAATAGTTAGAAAATACGTTAAATAATACTTAAAGTAAAAAGTTAAACTTGTAAAAAATGTTGTTGGAATATATTTGTCTGTATATAATGTAAATAAAATAAATGTTACATTTCAACATAATTATGAAGAACATATTTTT